AGAAGTGAAATGTACAATTCCAAAACAACATACATACCCATTTATATCAGATTCAACTGTCATAATGAATTCTTTATCACAGACTATAAGGTGTCCCTAAGTCCTTTTTTCCTTGAAAGTTATATTTCTGGGGGCTTGTATGCCCTTAGAGATTCTATGTTCAACATTTTCTGTACAAAGTTATAAGGCATTAATAGTGGTATGTTAAAACAACACATAATTTATTATAAAAATAGATCAAAACTTTCTTTTAACGATATCTCAACTGAGAAAATTACAGAAGAGAATAAAAATCATATTTACCACCCAGGTACTCTTTAAGCTTCTACTGTAATGGGAAGACTCTTTTTTTGGCTTATAATAGACTTTATGCTTTGAGTGGCAGGTGTCTATACATAAACGTGGACTGGAGCTAATGTTCTGCCTAAAGTTACTGTGAAATTTACACGTTCAAATGTGATTACTATTTATAAAGGTAGAAAAAGTTAGTTAAATTATCTGGTATGATTATTATCAGTGTTCACTGCAAATTATCTTATTATATTCTCTACTATCGTGTGGACTTCAGTCCTGTGCCAAATAGCAGCATAGATTACAATATCATGGTTCAAATGATGGTCAGTGACTTAGCTAGTACATAGCCAGAATGAAGGAATTCATTTATAATAAAAATGTAAATAAGGAGCATGACTTTATTTCAATACCAGTTGCTAGAACTGAGCAAAGGGTGTCTTGGTATCCAGAGGCAGAAATGAAGTTTTTTCTCCTAAGATACAGTGATGGCAAGTATGGAGGACAGAGGGCTGTAGCGATGAGTTGCTAGCTAGATTGCTAAAATACATACCTGAGCTCTATTGGAGCTATGCAACTTTGTTGTGTATCAGTTATTTGTAAGGGCTGACTGAACAAAACTCCCTTCATCATGCAAGCACTGCTGTCTGCACTACAGTAATAAAGAAACACACGCACTGATACAACGGTTTCAAGTGACAAGCAATCACCGGGAATCTGTAGGGAAATTGTTGGTTGATTAGAAATGTTCTCTATGCCTCCAGATGGCATCTGTCCTTGAAGAAGCCATTCACTGCCTAGATAATAAAAAAGTAAATTATTAAGACTGTATAAGATTAGTAGGAAGTTGCAAAAATCTTATGAAGACTAGATTCATTCAATCAACAAATATTTATTGAAAGCCTCTAAGTGCCAGGCATTGTGCTCTGTGGGAAGGACATAACTATAAATAAAATATAATGACCACCTACATCTGATGATATCTATATCTAATTATTACAATTCTTCCTTTGTTTGGACACTATAAAAAAAATTATAAACTTATTATCTGATGATCTTTATATCTAATTATTACAATTCTTCCTTTGTTTGGACACTATAAAAAAAATTATAAACTTATTTCTACTGAAATCAAGCCAAATACTGCAAGTATGGCTATAGATCCTTAATCTGTTAAGTTAGAAATGAAACCTATTAAGTTTTAGAAATAAACATAGGATGCTTGAGAAAATACATTATTTTTACCAAATAGATAAAAGTCTTCAGGAATATAATATAAAAACTGCAAAATGAACTTTATGTAGGGAATACAGATGTATGCAAAATTCTCCAGTTAAGGTAATGGTGAATTATTGAATATCTAAAAGTAATAATTATAATTTAGATTTTAATAATTTGATTTCTTCAGGAACAGGTAACATTGCATAATCTCCATGGGCTCAAACAATGTAAAACCTGAGAGATTTTACCTACCTCATTTTAATACATAAAACTCTTCCTAGACTTAAATACACAGATTATCTATACAACAAAATCCTATTAAATCACTAACATTTTTTAAAATCTTCTAATATTAAAATTTTCTTTAAGTGCCTTCATTTATCTCACGCCTTCTCTCAGAAGGAACATACATGTCATACTGAGGAAGCACGCACTTACACCGATGTTCAGCTTAAGAGGGTAGTAGAGATCAAGAGCCAGCATTTGGGAAATGTATGGAATGCCTTCCTGCCATCTTAGAGTACACTGAATACAACCTAATGACTTATCAATGACTTGGGGCATCTGTACGAAAACTGGACCATCTACTGTGTAGTGATAAAATGCTACATCTGCTTTTTAGCTTTTCTGTCTCTTTCCTTTGTTCTCAGGATGAGTCAGTCAGCAGACCCAGAGTACTTGCCTCTATCAGTCCTCTCCATGACTCCTTTAGTTTATTGCTTCTAATACTCTATTGATTGAAAAGTCAAATTTGAGAAAAATGTGTTAAATAAGAGTAAGGAGAAGGTGAAAGGTAAGAATCTAAAGAATGAAGTGCAGAGCTTTTACGTAATTCTTTTAAAATTCTCTTTAAAATTCTTTGGTTTTCTTTGCTTATTTCTGGACTGGAGGGTATGTTTTAATGTTTGATTTTGTTAGAGAGAAGATTAGTAGAGAACTACTTAGATTTACAATCAAAACAGGAAAATAATAAACTGTGCTACTTTAATGTCCAAAATTTAGAAATAAAACACAAAAAATGTTTCCTTAGACATTTTCCATATACATCACACATAGCAGTTGTGAAGTTATAGTATGCTCGTGGTGCTTTCATGCTGCCTTTTTTTTGGCTTAAAACATTCACATATTCTAACCACTTTGAGATTATACAGACAAAAATTTAGTTAAAAGTAAGTGTTTCTGTCTCTCAATAACCAGCGAAGAAGAGAAAGTGTTCTTCAGTAATAAGTGTACAAAAGTACTCTATAAAATATGTAATTTTCAAAAACTTTAAATTATTAGGATTCTTACCCGAAAGCTTATTTGCCCCTATGCAAGGGTACTTCAAAAAGTTCATGGGAAAACAGAATTAAAAGATAATAATAATCTTCCTATGAACTTTCTGAAGTACTCTCATATAATAAAAATGGAGCCAATATCTTGGACAAGTGATAAAATAACTAAGTATTTTCTATAAACTAAACTTCCTTTTAATTCTACCCATATTTTATATCCCAATGACTCAATATTAATTAATTTGTGTGTCTGAAAAGGAGAGTTAAAATAAACATGTTAATTTGTCAATATCCTATTTTAAAAATTCATGCACTGCTCTTTAATTATACAGGTAGAAATTAAATTAGTGATCTCCACTTGTTGTAATGCTTTCAGACTTAATGGACACAGACTGAATAGTTACACTGGCAGTCCCGGACTTGCTCTGAACCTACAGAGGGCTAGGGAGTGGCCAGGGGTTGAGTACTTTTCTGTCCACAAAGCTAGCTCCAAACATCCTAGGACAGCATGGTCAGTCCTCTCCCTTGTGGCAAGTGAGAGGGGTGGTTTCCCCACAGCCTCCCAAACTCGGACCAGCAGTTCCTCCCTGCTAGTCTACCAAGAACTCTTTGTCCTCTTGGTTTGGACACTGAGTTGATAGTTGCAGGCCAGTAGCTGCTGTCCTGGGAGTGTGTGAAGGTATGAAGACATGAAGCCAGGATTTGGGTAATGACCAAAAGAAAAGTGTGTGAGAGGGTACAAGGGAGGAGTTGGGGAGGAAATGGGAGATTGAGTGAGAACGTGTGAAACAGCGTGGGAGACAAGGATAGAGGAAGATCATTAGAGACACAAAAGCCCTAATTTAGAAGTTCTGAACCACTAATATTCCCCTTAAAATTGTTCCCGACTATGGTACAGATGTTGGAAAGCACTACTACAAGACAAGCAGCATACTGATTCCTTATCGTCAATTAATGAAATAAGGAGCTAGTCCTCACTGTGATTCACACACGTAGAAGGAAGGGAGGAATTCATAAAGGTAACTGGAAAGGAGAGTTACAGAAAAAGATATTAAATAAGGAGGCTCCACTTTATTTCTCTATTTCAGACTTTTTAACTGTAATTGATTCTT